GCCCATCAAAAAATCGCTTACGAAAGAATATAAGCCCAGGGTTTATAGTTGGAGGTTTACGGTAGTACAATTGCACTTGCAAAGAGTGCAATGGAACATATTCCATTGCACTCTTGGGAAATGGAATTTTCTATTCAATATCATGTCACCATAAACAGCCAATTAAACGATCAGAATTCAATAAGGTATTATATTAGGGGGAGAGTGCTGCCACTCAATAGGTTAAACCAAACTCGTAAATTATGTCAAATTTTAATCTGATTTTTGTAAATATATGTTTGAAAACTACAAGCGTAAGCAATCTCATTGGGTCATTAATCCAGAAAGATCGCCCAAGGAAATTCATGAAAGGTGGTTGGGAAAAAGTGTCATAAATTTTCCACTGCTAAGCATGAAAGGAAACAGAAAAATGTGTTCACACACATTTATAGAAGTAATGTATTATGCAGGTCAGGACATTTTTGTTGTTGTTCACAGTAGATTGGCATATAATATTTTATTTGTTGTTAGCAAGCCATCGTGTGATAACTTATATGTTTAGCCTATGGCTGATATGAGGATATCCAGTGGGAGGGGGGTGTATTTGGGTGGCACTTGCATCTAAACACTTTTAGAGTTTCAGTAAGGTAGTCCTCAAACAGTAACAAGGGGAGCTTTCAATGTACGGGTGGGGGAGTTGGAGAGACATGTGAAGAGCAAAGTGGGGGTTAAAAGGCTTGTAGAGCTGGGAGTTGAAAAGCTATGCAGGGCCTGGGGATTAAATAGCTAAAGTGCATGGAGTGTACAATTCTACAAAACATTATCAGACTAGCTTGGACAATTCCTTTATATTCATATACATATTTTATACTTATAGCAAAGTTACTTCATGTGACATCGGAATGGTCTAAAGTGATCACCAAGAGATTAGTAAAATATATTTGAATATACCAAAGTTCCCAATAACACTTCAGAAATTTCAAGTATATGTACAAAGATATTAAAATGAAAGTTAAATGCAATAAAAATTATCAACTATGATCATGCTTCCCCACCAAAATTCAGTTCCTATGTACAGTATCTACCTTATGGAATATATATTGTTATTGGATGTTCGTTTCTTCAGTTCTGATGTAATCGCTCTGGTTCTGAAAATAATTTCAAGCCATTTCTCCCGAGTTTCCTTTTTTATTGACGACTTATATTCACTTTCGTGCGCGCTCATGACTGGTATTCTAAACAATGAAATTTGGTGCTTTTGGCTTGTTGAACAACCAAAAAAGCACAATTACGGCCAGGCATAGCTTTAATACTTCATAGCTAGCTAACGAAATTCCCAACAGATGGCCAACATATATTATATTGATATTATTTCAATGTAAATTAGGTGGTTCGTGATATGTATTATTACGCCATTTTTAATATGATGCACACTATTTGACACGTGACCCTTCCAAGCATGGATCAAAGACATATTCCGAAACTCCGCCCACTTTCCAAACCATCCCCTTCTATTAACTGTGGTGTGAGATAATATATTAGAGGGGACAGCCATGACCGAAAGGTCATGTCGGCCATGCGCGTTGCCTTCGGTCATGGCTGTCCCCCTCTAACACGCATGAATAGGGCGGTCTGGGGGAATACTCTTTGAAACCCCGAAATGTCATTGCATCAACAACCTCGTAGCGATTTGTCAACAAGCCGTTGACAACTTGTCAACAAACTGGGAACAAGCAGTGCAAACACATCTTCTTGACAAGTTGTTGGAACAGCATTGCTGCAAGTCTGCTGCAGGTTTGTTACAACTTGTGGGTTTTACGTGTGTACTTTATGGTTTTCATCAAACTGACGTTACGTCATTTGATCAATTTCTAAAGTTGATTCTAAAGTTGATTTATTTTATTATTTTTGCTGCCTCGTAGAGGCAGCATACTAATTGTGTCGATCCCAGTCTTTCCGCTAGTTATGTGGACGAGAATTCGAGATTTTCGAATCAGTATTTAGAACAATGGATCGATGACGTTTTGTGACGTCATAACTTCCGCTTTCTTTCTAAACGCCTGTTCGCAGGCCTCTTTTGAATTTGAATTTCATTTGCCCATATAAAGCTATAATATATTTACAATGTATATTTGTACAAACATTAAGGGCTATGAACCTTTATGGAACCCTATCAGGCTTTTATTCAAAGGCCCCTAGTTTAACAATGTTATAAAAAGTGGTTAAAGCTTGTTCAATCTTGTCAAAGACAAAGTAAGGGTATTTACAAATATAGTGATTTGAATATAAATATACACAATTTACAAGAGTTATTTTGTGAGATTACAAATGAAAGCCGTTAGGTATATTCCAAGAAAAGGATTTTCAACTTTTTCTTAAAAGTAGAATAAAACATAGTATTGCTAGTTTCTTTATCAAGAGAGTTCCATGTTTTAACTCCCTTATATTAACAATAGTATGTTTTGCATAATTAGTTCTACTATAATTGACAAGCAATTTGTTAGAATTCCGAGTATTGGTACACTGTAAATCTCGCGGTGTTGCGGCAACACCAAAAAGGTGTAACATTACACTAATTAGGTGTAACGCGGAATTAAACACCGTTCGAGTGTAACATTACACTTCCACAGTGTAACTTTACACTATTTTAGTGTCTCGGTAACACTTACTAGGTGTAAAGTAGAAAATATTCTATTTACACCTAATTCGGTGTAGATTTACATTAGAACGGTGTAACATTACCTCTTTCCCTGTTAATTTACACCTTGCGATAGTGTAAATATACACTTATTCGGTGTAAAGTATACTAACACTTGCGAAGTGTAAATTTACACTTTTCCTGGTGTATCATTACACCTAGAACGCGTTAATATACACGGAGCTGAGGTGAAGTAGAAACTAATGTATTAACTATTATTGCAGTGTAAATTTACCCTTAACAAGTGTAAATTTACCCAATTCTTGTGTATGGGATAACACCATGATAGTGTAAATATACACCGGAGTGGCGTAAAAATTATGAATGCTTACTTAGTGTAAATCTACACTGAACCTGGTGTATAATTACACTAGCTAAGACTATTTTAAGATACACTGATCTGGTGTAAAGTAGAAACCGAAGTATTAACACCTTTTTGGTGTAAATTTACCCTCAAACGGTGTAAATGTACCTAGCTAATTCTGGTGTATGTGATAACACCATGATAGTGTAAAGTGTAAACATACACCAGAATTTGAAGCTCAGATAGGCTATTTCCAGCATTTTGAGGAGTGTTCCAACAAGAAATTAACTTTATATACAGTGACATGATTACTGCAATTTTACAATCTCCCAAATGTAATCCAGTCCCAATAAGGCAACATGATGTGATGATGGCGGTAATGAAAATGTGCGTGGTATAGTATTATCATTCACCACACTTCAAATTTTACAGTGCTGTATTACATGTATTGGGGTACTTGATATCGACGCATTCGCTTCTCAGTGTCACTGAAGAGCACGATAGGGTGGTCTCTTTGGAGTATCTTTGCTTGGAAAACTAAACTAGAACCTAAAATGCCATTTCATGCCTTTTTCCACGAGAAAATTATTTCAGCCATGGTTTAGGTTTCTGGCGATGTTTAAATTTCAGTCCCCAAAATTCCTACCGAGGCATGCAACTGACTCGGTTGACTCATAGCTAGTTACGGACCTGCAGATGATGGTCAAATTCAGAAATGTTAACAGCTTATAACATCATTTTCTCACTTTGATATACAATTGCTGGTTGACCACCTACTGCAGATAGTTCTTAGGGACCTTGCACTGGGGGGTGGGACAAAATTGCTGACTGGAGGGGCCACTAGGAGGGCTGGGGGGGGACATGTCTCCGCAGTCTATATGTTAAAAGAGGCCCTGAGTCATTTTATCGAATTTAATTGGCCTGAAACTGAGTTTATAGTACTCCTAGGAGTTTACGTGGAATTCGTCTTGGTTTATTTCATAATTATTTATATCCAATCTAGCAAAATTTCTGCGGGGGCGGATACGTAACTGTAGTCTCCAGGGTGGTAGATCTCCTACAGCCGTGATAACTAAAATTCGTAAAATTAGGTGTGGAGCTTATATTGCGTCGTAAATGCTTTGATTATTGTCTTTTAAGCAAGATATAATAAGACAGCTAGAATTTTGAAGATAGAAATTAGAATTAAAAGTTTCTGTCAAAAAACCGCAATACACTTTAATTTGCACTGGATTGTTCACATGATTGAGATCAGTGCCTTCAGTCAATCGCGTTGCCATATATGGGCTCCCAGAAGGCTTAGCGGGACACATTTCGAGCGCGTCCTTTGGAAATTTTATAACGCTGGTTGATAAATATTATATGGCCAAGTTTTCTTAAAATATTTACGAAAATATGAAGAAATAATCCAATTTTTGAAGATCCACACAATAATCTTAAATGTAAGTGTTAAACTATGTCAATATTTTGAAGTTTCGTGTGTAAATATGTGCCATAAATAGTTGTATTCATGTATATTTTTAACCGCCGTGCCGTTGGTCGCATTTGTATTTTCACTATTTTGTATTGGGTTCAACAATATATTGTTACTAAAATACATTAAAACTTAGTGATATTGCTTTGTATTTACAGATTATAATTCCAAGCAATAAATATTGTCATAATATGTGCTCCAAGCAAGTCAACTGTCGAAATCATGATACCTGTAAATGTAACGACAACAAACTAGAATACTACAGGCTACAAGAAGGTATGAAATATAGTTTAATGTATTGAGGCGGTATCAATATTGATTCATTTAGCTAATATTGATATAATCGCCAAAGCAAGTTCTATGGCTTTGTATGAGAGGAGAATAATTCCTCCTCTGTGTTTAATATTTATATTGTGCCTATCAATAGATTCCAGACAACCCTAAATATACATATTGCTGAATTCCCTGAATACATTCAGGATATATGATGCTTGTGATGTTACTCTGAGTGTATATCCACACCGGGCAAGCTTGAAAAATATGCCTGGCCACGGTGGGAATCGAACCTACGACCTTTGGAATACTAGCCCAATGCTCTGCCGACTGAGCTACGTGGTCAGGTCGGTTTGAGTACCGGTATGTGATATTTCGGAACAGAATCTAGTTCTTTCAATATCAATGTAATCTAGTGATCATGACTTTTTTCTGTGTTGGTGTAATGTACTCAGGTGACTATGATGCTTGTGATGTTTCTCTGAGTGTATATCCTGACCGCGTAGCTCAGTTGGCAGAGCATTGGGCTAGTATTCCAATTAAGGTCGTAGGTTCGCTTCCCACCGTGGCCAGGCATATTTTTCAAGCTTGCCCGGTGTGGATATACACTCAGAGCAACATCACAAGCATCATATTCACCTGAGTACATTACACCAACACAGAAAAAGTCATCCAGGATATATGTTTTTCATAATTTTTTCTGTGTTGGTACCTACATATTTGGGCTAGTATTCCAAAGGTTGTAGGTCGTGGCCAGGCATAATTTCAAGCTTGCTCGGTGTGGATATATACTCAGAGTAACATCACAAACATCATGTTTCTCATAGTTATACCTCTGAGGAATTCCAAGCTCAAACATTATATATATTTATGATCCCCTGATTGCCCTGAAGAAATATCCCAATATGCTAAGTACCATGCAGACACTAATATGGCATAATGCCATAATTAGTAAATGTTTATGACTTATGAATCAAGTTCAGGGCTGTAGCTAGACGCGATAATTTGGGTGGTGTATATTCATATAAATAAAGTCATGTTCACATACCGTAAAAACAATCGCTTTCAAAAGAAATCCGTCTGGGCAGAGCACGAATATATGAATATACCCCCCTCCAATTATCGGTCTAGCTACAGCCCTGGTCAAGTTGTGTGTAGGGGTGCACCGGATTCCAAATCAGGCCGGAATTCCGGCCGGATTTAATGAATTTTCCAGCATACAGCCAGATTTGGAGAAAATCCGGCCGGATTTAAATTTCTGTTTTTGGCTTAAAAAATTCACCAAGAATGGGATAAACCATCAATTTGGCAGCTTTAAAGTTTAAAAAACACTTATATTATTATAAAATATTAAGTTATAAACAAAAAAAATATTTAAAAAAGGTTTAAACACAATCAAAAATCTAAACTGACACTAACTAAAAATAGTAAAAAAACATAAACCGCCATTTTGAATACTGATTTGTCCCCAATTGTCCCCATTAACTGTTTATCTCAAATCTGGCCAGAATTTTTGTCCAAATCCGGTAAATCCGGTTCTGGCCGGATTTGAAAATTCCAAATCCGGTGCACCCCTAGTTGTGTGTTTATATGGAACCGAGGTAGCCCAGATACCAGAGTTCATTGTACATAGTGTTGTACCAACAACCAAGTAGAATTTCATCCATGTTTACTTGAGACTTTTCAGGCAGGTCAGCTCAAAGCACCTGTCTTTATTGCTATATAAGAGCTGTTTACATTGCCCTCTGAAAATGTACCGCCGTACGGAACAGATAAAATGACATTCTTACTGAGTGAATCTACCTGTGCTTGGACAAAGGTTTGAAATATACCGGATATCATATCCAGGCTCAGGGCTGCCGAGAGAATTTGCAGAGCCCTGGGCAAATCTTCTCTGGGG